TTTTAAAAAAAGGAGAGAGAAGAGGAGAAGGAAAAAAAAGGAAAAGATATAATTGAATCCCTTAATTGAAGGCACTAATAATGGGATAAGAGCCTTTTAAGAAGCAATGTATATAAGTTGTAAGAAAAATCTAGATACTTATTAAAAACTGCAAAACATAGAGAATATAAGTAAATAAATTTATAATATAGTATAGCTAGGTAAAAATCCCTATATACTAGTGCGGGTGTGCACGGGCCCAATTGCCATAGCTAAGCCGGTAAAGTTTTTTTTTGTCCTTTAGAGTTATTTAGCAGTTAATTAAATAAATTTATAATATAGTATAGCTAGGTAAAAATCCCTATATACTAGTGCGGGTGTGCACGGGCCCAATTGTCATAGCTAAGCCGGTAAAGTTTTTTTTTGTCCTTTAGAGTTATTTAGCAGTTAATTAAATAAATTTATAATATAGTATAGCTAGGTAAAAATCCCTATATACTAGTGCGGGTGTGCACGGGCCCAATTGTCATAGCTAAGCCGGTAAAGTTTTTTTTTGTCCTTTAGAGTTATTTAGCAGTTAATTAAATAAAGTTGGTTGAAACATTTAAGGATAAAGCATCTATAAAAGATCATAGGGACCCGTGGGATAGTTGATCAAAAGATAATTAGAAGTCACTCAGCGATGTAAAACGTTTGACTTTGCAATCAAAATGCCACTATTTGCATGATCAAAATAGATAGTTTCTCTTCACCCTTTTTTTTTTACAAAAAAAATTACTATATCCGAAATAATTCTGTTGAAGTCAATTTGAGTTATAACGTATTAATGCATAATACAAATAAGTTTATTCAAAACTAATTTAATCTTGATTAACCAATTTTGGCAAATGTAATATTTTAGTATATCAAGAAAAATATAAATATTTTTAAGTTACAATACTTCTATTATCAAATTCCCTATTTAATAGCATCTTAGTGAAAAAACTTAAATCGTCCTCATAAAATTGTGGTCAGATATATCTATATGGTGATAATTAAAAGGCTTAATTTAATTACTTATCTAACTTAACAAAGATAAAATTACATTAAAAAACTAAAAAAAACTTACCTTAACAAAATTACCAAAATAATATTGCAGACGTATTCCTAAATTGATCATACTAAAAATATTTGTAAAGTTGTTTTTTCTTAAAGTTTCCTTTTTTCTTTCAAACAGAGTATTTTTTTTTCCCTTATTTTTATTGAAATTATTTTCTCAAGTCCTTTTGTGAAGTTCAAATGCATTTAGTCCGCGCAAAGTCATGTTATTCAAGCAATATGATAAATGTGGATTTCAAAATCAAAGCTAACTCAAGATTTTAGAAAACGTTTCCTTTAGTAAATATAAAATGATTTTATAAATATAATCCGACACAAAGGCATGAAATTTTGTTCCAAAACTTTCTTCTTAATGCATATTATATTAAAATGTGAATATTTGATTTTTTATGGATCTTCTAGCATGTTACTTTAAAATTGATGATGACTTCATATTGTTCTTATTTTTGTTGGGATGGTCGATTGGAATATTTTTTTTTTTCTGAAACATATCCTTTCATAATGAAAAATTTAACTGAGTATTTGTTGATATTTTGCAAGTATGATGGTCATGAGTCTATGCATATTTTACACCTTCAGTTATATGCGTTTCGCTCTCTCAACTCTTGTGGTTTCTTTATGGTACTTCATAGTCGATTAAACTTTCTCATATGAATCTAATTTAAATTAATTTTATTCAAATTTTTTATTTTTTATGAATACTCCTAGTCATAAGATCCTTCTCAACTTGTCACATTGCATTTTGAAAAAGTTGTATGTTCAAGCAAAAATTAAAACGATTTCTTTCTTTTCTTTTTTGGACAAACACCTAATTTCTTAATATTTTTTCTAATATCAACTTCAAATATTAGCTGAGTTCTCTTCAAATATTTTTTTATTATTTCAAATCATATCGTTTAAACGATACTTTCATTAATTGATCGTTCTCTAATCTCTCTATATATATTTTTTTATACGAACGAAAGCTCGCAATAATATAATCTAACCTTGAGATGGTTATCATAAACTCATAAATTTTGATAATATTCTATTGTTCTTCTAATTATTTTATTCTATTTATATTTGATAATTAAAAAAGTAAGCTTCCATTTTTTAATATCATTTTACTACTACTATTTTACCGTTCAATCTTTGCTGCAGTACTCTTATTGTAGGTTTACAAATAAAATAATTATAGATGGGCTAATTATTAAATTTATTATTATTTTAATTATCGGTTCAAACATATTATTTATTACAATTTTAGTGAATTTTTACACATTAATTTTAGTAAAAAGCACTATATTGAACATAGTTTGCTTGCAAAAAATTTCTCCGGGTGTTCTTTTAAGGATTGATGTATTATCTTGTCTATTAAAAAAAGTATTGCAAATAATACCTGACAAATATATTTTTTAATCGAAAGCAAATACTTATTATTTATTAATTAAATAAATTGTAGCATTTTAGGAGTTTCTTTGAAGAATTCACTTGTTTTTTCTTTTTGTGTTTAGAGAAAATTATGGATTTTTTGATAAATGAATTGAAGCGGCTGAATAAGTGTAGCCAGTGTTGTTTGTTTTTGTTGGATTTATTTTTTGCATTTAACCAATCTAAATTTATTCTTTTCACAGTTAGCTCAATTCCCTCTCATTACCGCTAGTTGCTCCAAAAAGAAATATTAGTAGTTATTTTTATTCTTACACTTTTCTTTAAAAGCTAATTTGTGAGCCCTCCAAAAAAAATATTTTACAAGCTGCTCTACGTATTTAATGGTTGTGAATGTGATGAGCTCAAATGGCACAAATAACAATGAGTATACGTGAAGAGTTAAAGGGTTTGCGGTGGGGAAGTGGGCCCTCATTGTTTGTATGTGAGCTACAATTATCAACCCTTTTAGCCTATAGTGTTGCTCCATTTCACCGTAATTATATATATACCCTTATGACCCAAATAGTAATCGGATGCAGCTCTCTTTGTAATCGGAGGCAGCTCAAATTCCCGCTTATTAATAGTAGTAAAATATAAAGCTGGGCAATAAAAGTCTGATGTGGCACCTCTCACAATCTTGGATTCTCATTTATCTTTTTTCTCAATTTTATGATTTTTCTCTATTTTTTTGATCGTATAATATGTTTAAAAAAATCCAAAAGTCACCTCATTTAAGGAAATTGAAACCGCAAGTTTTAGTGCATTTATATCATGCCAACCATTACTGTTGAATGCCCTTGCTATTCCTAATGTTACTTTTTTGTTTCATGCCTTTCTGCATTTCATGCGTGAACGCGTTTTTAAATACAGTTGCTCATAAGTGGAAAATGCTCAGTATTTTATTGTACACTTTCTACAAGGAATTGAGTGAAAAATATTGTTGCCTATGAAGTATGAACTACGAAGTGAGAAATCCAGTCACTTATTCTCTTCAACAAAGCATATTCCGAAAAGTCTGCAGAATTAGAGAGACTGATGAATTCTACGTATGGCAAGGAGTTATATAACTTACTGAAATAGGGTGAAGAGGAATTTGAAAATAGTGTACACATATTTTATGATGGCTTTTGATTCCAGACAGCCAAAGACACTTCATCAACTGATGAGAATATTTCATACAAGTATGATTTTTAAGAGTATATTGCAAAGGAAGTGCTGGAAGATGAGGCCAAGATCGAAGTAATAACCGTGTTCAAAACGTTTAGTGGTCTTTGATTTTGTCATCGTTGGATTTATGCCCTATATAAGTTGAAGCATTGAATTGTAATTTTCTTCTAAAAGTATCGATTAAGATTTTAATATCCATTTTTCTTGGTTATAGATTTATGCAATGTTTTTTTTATCTTCACTTTTTGTCGTTGATAACATGATAACTTTGATCCTCTCACTGAGCAATTCTCAAGTCAATTAAGCAAATATGTTCCTTTTGCTCGTGTTTTTTTTTTATTTCAAGTTTGTAAGATCTTTTTTCTCATAAAATCTTGAATTTGTAATTCGGTTTTCTCTTTGATATTATGAGTAAAATTATTTACTGATCTAATGTAAAGGAAAGAAGAAAATTTTACTCGAAGATTTGGCGTTGTGATTATTGAATAAATAATTTTAACATTTTGATGATATTTTATAGAGTACGAGTATAATATGGTGAAAATTGAATAAATTGATTAATTGATGTGGGTCAATTAAATTAATAGTAGAATATCATACTTTCCTAACTCGATTTTGGAGTGGGAAATTATCTGTTTCACTTTTTTATTTTGAAGTATATGTTGGGCTCGGAGACTATTTGGCTTCTGCGCCTCGACAGAAATAGGTCCAAGTTTGTATAAGTTATTTGTATAGTTTCTTTTACTAGTTGAGTCCACTTTAGTTTTTCGGATTTTGGCCCAATGTATATATAGCTTATGTTGTACACACTTGAACATTTTTGTCATTATGAGATAATGAAAGAGTCGAGAAGCTTCTTTTTTTCCCTTGTATTCTCTTCAAAAACCCTAGTCAATTCTTTTTGACGATTTCATAATTTTTCAAGCTTTTCATGGTATCAGAGCAAGGATTCATGTAGATCTTGTCCTCCGCATTCGTCTGATACTACCCTCATAAAGTTTGGTTAAGTTTTTCTTCTCGTCCGAGTTTCATCAGTTCCGTCGGGTTTTTCTTATTTTGTGGTGATTTGCGGTTGTGCGGTGTTTTCTGGTGTATCTCTTATATGGATTGAAGAAATGCATGCGAGGATTTTGATTTCAATCTGGGTGAGACTGGATTTCTGGTGTGTGAGTGATATTTGGCTGTTCTAGTAAATCTTGAAGGCTATTCTTCTTCCAGTCGTGAAGAAATATGGTATCTCTATCTCTATTCTTACATATATTGTGGTGTGATTTTGGTTTTGCTGTCATTAGGGTTTTGCATCATAAAATTCCCTATAATTTAGGCTGATTGTTGTTGATTTCAATATGACTGCGGGTGATTCTAGTATTTCAACTTCTATATATTCTCCAAATCCGTCTAGTCCTCTATTCATACATTCGTCTGATATCCCTGGGACTTGTTTGGTGCTTGTACCATATTCTGGTATTGGATTTGGGGGTTGGAAGAGGAAAATGGTAGTTGCTTTGTCAGCTAAGAATAAGATAGCTTTCATAGATGGTAGTTTCCTTAAACCTTCTGATAATGTTGTTGAGCTGAAATTCTGGAATATATGTAATAATATGGTGATTTTCTGGTTAACTAGCTCTTTATCTCCTGATATAGCCGAGAGTGTTCAGTATTCTGAAACTGTTGAGTGCATTTGGAAACAAGTTGAAAATAGATATGGCACCGTTAATAGAACTAAAGTATTTGAGATTAAGAAAGAATTTGCCTCTACTTGTCAAGGACCTCTTGGCATAGCATCATATTTTAACAAATTAAAGAAGTTGTGGGATGTGGTGGCTTTCATTCATAAAAATCCTATTAACCCTTGCAATTGTGCTCTACAAAAGGAGTTGGAGGAGGACAAGTTGTATCAATTCCTAATGGGGATTAATGTAACTTATGTTAGTGTCAGAAGTAACCTTCTAATAATGCAACCACTTCCGTCCCTCGACAATGCCTATAATATACTACTTCAAGATGAGGGTTAAAGACATATCAATTTTACTCCTCAGTTCGATTAAGAGTTAGCTTCTTTTAATGTCAACAATCTCACTAGGCTTCATCTTCCTCCTAAACAACAGTACACTCACAAGATTAATTTTGACTAAAGGGTAAATGTTGATCAGAGAACTTCTATATTTTGTAAATATTGCAAGAAGCATAGACATTTAGTTGATAAATGTTACAAGTTATATGGCTTTTCATCAAACTTCAAGTTCTCTAAGGGAAGAAGAACTGCAGCAAATGTCAGTATTAAACCTGGACTTTCTGATATTGACCATTATACTACTGGTGCCGGTTCCTCCCATCCTGGTTCTTCTAGTTCTTCATAGCAAAGTTTTGTAATCCCTAGGCTGAGTATGCAACAGTACAATCAATGGATGAGTTTACTACAACAGTCATATGTGTCAACTTCTGATTCTCAGCCCAATCTCATAGCTTCTGCCAATTTTGTTGGTACCTTACTATTTGATGATTTGTGCAATAGTTCTAGTTCTAATTCATGCATGCTTTCTCAGGTTGTAGGCTTAACTTGGATAATTGATTCCGGGGTTACTGATCACATGACATCTAATAAGGAATTTCTTTCTAATATAACTCCTTTGCATGTTCCTTATCTTGCCTCCCAACCTAACGGATATAAAGTAAAAGTGACCAGCACTTGTTCTTTTGCCTTGAATCCATCACTCATTCTTCATAATGTTCTTTATATTCCTTCTTTCCACCACAACCTCATTTTTGTACATAGACCCATACAACAATTCAAAAGGTTTGTTTTGTTCACTTATGACTTTTGTTTACTTCTACCACATGGCCCTTCTATGAAGAAGCCTTTGTATCTTGGAAACTTGATACTAGTCTCTACAAGCTTATCTGGAAAAAGCCTTCCCAATCTCAAATTTTTACTGATTTACATTCCATGAATAATGTTGTTTCATCTTTTGTTCCTTCTGTTTCTGCATCTACATGTGAGAATAATATTGTTTCATCTAGTTTTCCCCCTGTTGATGCATCTTCTTGTAATTCTAATCCTATCTTGCCTAATATCTGCACTATTTCTTTCCATTCTACTTCTACCGATATGAATAAAATGGATGTGATTTGACATCACAGACTTGCTCATGTTCCTTTTATTAGAATGAAACTTATTTCTGGTTTATTTGATTTTTTGTCTTCCAAACAACCTTTTATTTGTAATGTATGTCTTATGTCAAGGAAAACTAGGATGCCCTTCCTAGATAGTTCTATTACTACTGTTAAACCCTTTCAACTTATTCACATTGATACTTGGGGTCCTTACCATACTCTAACATATATTGGGGCTAGATATTTTCTTACCATTGTAGATGATTATACATGAGCTACTTGGACACACTAAATGGGGGGCAAGAGTAATGCTTTTCCATTAATCAAGGCTTTTGTTGCAATGGTTAAAAATCACTTTCATGTCCCCGTCCAAACTATTAGAAGTGATAATGCTCTAGAGTTAGGTACTGGTTCTTCTGCTTCTATTGTTTTTCAGAGAATGGGATCATACACCAGACTAGTTGTCCTTACACATCTCAACAAAGTGGGGTAGTTGAAAGAAAGCATTGAACCCTTCTTAAAGCATCTATAGCATTGTTGTTTCAATCCAACTTGCCTACTCAGTTCTGGGTGACTTTTTACTGACATCAACTTATGTCACTAATAGGTTACCTTCTAAACTCCCCAATAACAAATCCCCTTTTGAGATGTTGTATGGTAAGGTGACTACCTATTCCCATTTGAGATCCTTTGATTGTTTATGCTATGTCCCAGTCCACATACCTCATAGGGATAAGTTGAAACCTAGAGCTATGATCTCGCCCAAATCACACCTCAGTTTAGGGTTGTGAAGCAGTCGATTGATATAATAATACCCAACTAGGAGTCGGGGTCAAATCCACATAGAGCGTAGATGGATTAGGTATATATTTGGACTAAGCACGTAAAGTGTCTAAGATGCACTTCCACAAACTGTGTTTTAATTTTACTTCTAAATTATGCTACAGTTTGCAAATAAAAAGGTAGAGAATAATATTTTTGGTATTGTTTTTCAAGTATGTAAAAGATCTAGGGCTGTGACTTCCACCTAGGTATTTGCCTAACGGGTTGTGGGCTTTAGGGCAGGTTTGGTAGGTCGGGTGTAATATAACAATCAACACATAATTATTCACTCAATACCTCTCGGTAATAGAATGATTTTGCCTAATTTGGCTTTCTCAAGTCCAAATGGGTAATTCACAAAACAGTTGATAGATGCTCAAGTCGGGTTTTACTATCTCTAGATTCAACACTTTAATTGGGACTATCAATTTCTTGAGTTCATCCCAATTTCTTGTTAGCCAAGTTTTTCTAGGCTCAGCCTCTCTTTCTCAAGCAGAGACTAAGTCAAATAGACTTGAATCAATATTTGCAACCATTAATTCTACAATTAAAGTAAGAACTAGGCTAAATTTTATACACCCAACCATAAACAAGCCCTAAATCAAACACCCATTAGGTACCCACACTAGGGTTGGGCCATAACCCTAGCTAGAAATTTAGCTACTCATAGATGAAAATAAAAATATTAAAGAAGAATAAAAGATTAAGCTCACATTCAATGATAAAGAGATAAAAATCCAATGTAAAATAGACAAACAATCATAAAATTTCCTAAAGCAGTAAATAAAAACGGCTCCCAACTTTCAGATATTCAAACTTAACCTAATTTTGTCAAAAACAACTATTTAGACACAGCTGAAATTTTGGAAAAAATTGTCCTTTCGGAGGTTCTGTGGCCGCACAATTCTGTGTGCGGTCCGCACTTTGATGCAGAGCTTGACAGAAGGGACTTATGCGGCTGCACAATTCTGAATAGTGGTTGCACTTCTTCAGGTTCTACGGACCGCACATTTCTGAGTGCAGCCGCATTCTTGAGTTATGCGATCGCACAATAATAGTGTGGTCCGCATTTCTTGTTGGACTTAAAGTTGGGACTCTCTGATCTTCCTCTTCTGTGGCCGCGCACTTTTCAAAGAAGCTCTGACAGAAATCCCTTCATGATCTACGGTCGCAGACAAAATTCTGCGGTCCGCACTTTTCCCTTTTTGCTTGATTTTAGTCCTTGTCCAAAAATACTTCTTCTTGAGTTTAATTTCATTGCTTTGGCTTATTTTCCAATACTCCTGCAAGAAAGTATATTTTATCAGTTTTTGGGAATACCTTTAAGCACTTTTTAGTTAAAACAAAAGTAAAAAAGGCCGCAAATAAGTAGTCAAAATCTTCACTTATCAACTCCCTCAAACTTAAGCGTTTGGTTGTCCTCAAGCAAATAAGGTGATTCCCACCTTCACAAGAAAAGAGCTATTTTAGCTAGCCTAAGGTGAACCAAACACACATCAATTGGGACCAACAATTACCCACACACTTATGAATTATTAACAAGGCATTGTTTTGAAGGTTAAAGCACGAATAGCTCTAATGTAACACTTGAGCATCAAGAGTTGACTTTACTCATCAAGGAAGTTTGCACTTTCATGTAAGTCACTGTGGATCCCAAACTCCTCCTCCTATACTCTCTGTTAGCTCATCTCACTTAAGAATGTAGCACTCAATTTAATGACTTGTAAAAAGTTCGCTCATCACTCTCAAAAGAATGTCACAAGTACGGCTCTAAGTACCATATGTTTGCCCCTCGTGTAGATCACCACTAGTGTAAGCTTACTCGGCTTGAAATCACGTAGGGCTTTTTCGGCATGTAATGAAGGCTTTTGGATTAAGGTGGGAAATGTTGGAATAGAACGGGTTCATCTTTCCTTAAGCACTCCATTTTCTCTTTTTGGCTCATGCTTTTGCCAACTCTTTGAGTCACTTTATTTTTCCTTAGGGGAACTAGAGATACTTGACATCACTCTTTCTTGGTCATGATATTCACTTTCTGCTTCTTTGTTTTCTCCATGCTTTGCACTTTTGCTATTCTTTGAATCTCATCAACTCTTCACTTTATACACTTTCTTTTTGTGTTTTCCTTTTGTTCATTCTTTCTTTTTCTTTGCCTTTCCTTTTCTTCATTTCTTTTCACTTTTTGTACCTTGATACCACTTTCAAACTACTCGTATTTACCCCTAACTTATGTTTTCACCATTTGTTTCTCATGAGTGCTAAGAAAAGCTCGGGTGCCAAGAGAGGGTCACTATCAAACGGGTAAAGGCTTGTAACATGGTTATCAAATGAAAAAGGCTTTAGGCTCAAATGGGTCGACTAGGGATAACATCATTGGTGGGCCATGGAAAGTTTCAAAACGGGTCAAGGAGAGCCTACAATCACTTTTCAAGCCGAGAAAAACTTAGAATTTTGCCTAGAAACACATTCGGGGCAAGTTTTAGACTATTCGCACGGGTACTTGGACGTGTAACAAAACATCTCACCTCTCACACAGCTTGATTATTAAATAGGATAGAGTCGAGGGCACACAACAACCGTATTCAAGATTGAAAATCGCTAATGGTTCAACTAAACCACTCGATGATTGCCTAAGTCAACACAAGAGTCACAAGGTCACTAACTAGAGCCATTTCTTTTTAAGAGCTTGTTTTTAACCAGGTAACAAGTGAAGCATGCTTGACCCTTTTATTCATTATTACTACTGTCTTTACCTAAAAATCAAAAACGGACTCAATTCCTTAAGAAGGTTGTCACTCCATCCATCATTGGGAAGAGCCACCCGGTTCACACAAAACCCACCTTTGGAAAAAACTGTGGCATTAAGAAAACCCAAATCTTATTGATCACTTAAACGTAAAAAGAAGCTACCAAATCAAAAGAAGCTATTAAAGTAAATAAGAACCTAGACTACTTAGAAAGCAAAATAAAGAAGCTATGAAATAAACTACTGAAAGCAAGAAAAATACATATACAAACCGAGAATGGGGAATATAATATATACATCAAAAGATATGGAGGAATATATACATAATGAAAAAGAAAATAAAAATAAAAAGAGAGTATTATAATTATTACAGGCCAATGTCATATCAAATCAACCAAAATAGACCACCCCCATGAATAAGAATAAGCATTGTCCTCAATGCTTAACAAAAGTCAAAATAAGGAAGGGTAGAGAGTGAAGAAAACTCCCTATGAGGTCTCAGTGTGCATGGCAGTATCACCACCCTCGGACTCCTCCAACTGGATCTCAACATCCTCTGCTCGGGGAGTAACGGGGTTGGTGAATATCTGATGCACCTCCTCAGCAGTATGGGCAGCAAGGTCTGGCTCGTCAAACTGGCCAGCTGATGCCTCTGCTGATGGTGCCGCTGGGTCTGTA